TAATTTGTTGCTCCTCAACAATCTGGTCTTTTTATTGCATCATTGAAACATACTCTCAAATCTCACATTTCTAGGATTGTCCAAAACTTCAAACACCCAGTCACTCCACAGTTTGTTATAGCTATTACCTCCTTTGGTTAGGTACATCTTCTATTTGAGCTACCAAACCTAAGATGATAGAAGCTTTCTAAGTATCCATATCACATTTAGGAGGCATGTCCTTTCTATTACATCAACGACCTCAGTGCTGGTTGAATATAAGGAATACCAAGGCATTTGTTTTTAAGATCGATGAACTCAAAATGCATACCAAGGATCATTAACTCCCCAGGTAATTCTGATTCAGATAAATGTTGAAAAGAATCACATTAGATAATACTAACTCATTTTTCAAAAAGGTGGAATCAATACTGTATTTGAACTCAAAGAAGGGAGGTGATTGGCTTTGAGCATTTGATTGCATTATTGGATCTTAATTTTTTTCTTTTGAAGAACTTGGGTATAGGCCAGAGTTACAGGGGGGTGAGAGGATTCACTAGAGACAGAGTGGGGAACAGAACAGGCAGATTTATTGAAATACACTGCTGAGGGGAGCAGCAGGTGAGATAGGAGAAGTTTGCTATGCCATGTGTGGGATAGCTCCCTGGCCAGAAATTGAACTCAAGCTGTAGTGGTGGTAGCGGGGAGATTTAATCCCTAGGATACCAGGGAGGCCTGGTCGGTCTCAAATTTTTACAAAGGAAGAATTGATGAGTTTGATTCAGTTCTTTCTACTCTTACCTTCAGAGACAGGAAAATTACATGATCTACATTTTTACTTTGAACCATATCTTGCTTATATACAAGCCCTTTGGCTGGTTGTTGGCATAAACATCTTGCTGATCCTTGCTCTGGTGTGGATTAGGCAAAGGGTGGTATCATCAAGGCCATTTGCAGGTTACGCACATCAGTGCCCAGAGCACAGAACAACAGCCCAGCTGGCAGTAAGTCAGCTATTAGGTAATATCAAAAGCACATATTTTCTTGCACACATGAATTCACACTGTGTATGGTCCTCAAAAGTTTTACCTTTGGCTGGGAAAATAAGTAACAGGGAAAGAAATGGGGGGTGGGGGGAGAGGATATGTGTGTGGAAAGAACAAAAGGAAATAAGTATATTAAATTGACAATAAATGTGTAGCAATTTTAAGGAGGCTATGATTATGACTGTTTACCTTACCTTCTTCCTACCATTTCTGCATCTGTGGTCCATGTAGCTTGTAAACATCTCCTTTCTAGTGTTTGCCTATCTTAGATGCAGCTAGAAGTCTGCATGCCAATCTCTCCCACTAGGGTGTGAGTTCTGATGCATATCTCTAGGTGATGCTGACATTGGCGACTGTGTAGGACTAAGAGGTGTATGTATGCTGTGTGCATTCATACACCTGCTCAGTTTGTCTTTTAATTTTTTTCAAGGACCCTGGGAGTAGGTGTCTTAAAATAGTATGGTGCCAATTTTCAGGACAGTTTCTTAGGCAGCTTTGGACTTCCTGAGTTTTAGGGGTTGGTTCTTGGATAACCAAAAAGTCGCATCCTAGGCGGAAAAGATGTACAATCTTGTGACATTTAGCTGGGATTTGAATACAGGCCCTTTTCAATGAACAGACTTCACATTCAGAGACGGGCTTTAGTTTTCAGAAATCCTTCATAATTTTATATGATATATTAGCGTTTTATATTTAAAACTGAAAATTTATACAAAGTATAACATATGCACTGTGTAGTACATGTAGATATATATATGTGATTATAGGTATATATGTATGTGTGCTTTATATATAGATAAATACAACAAAGAGTGAGAGGATTCCCCTTTCTTTCCTCTCCTCATGCCTCTCATGATTGGAAGATGAGCTACATGTAAGCTACACTTGATAAGAAGTCTTCTGGTCTCTGGGGCTCACTTTCTCCACTTGGAAAGCAAAGGAAATGGCCCACATGCTATCCTAGCCCTCTGTGGGTTTTGTTATAAGATTGCAGAAACCTGGATGCACAAGCAAACAGGTAAAGTTCATCTGATTACAGAGAATGGTGTTTTGACATGTTTTCTGTGTTGATCTCTTATCATTAGCTCACATGTCCGACTGCTTTTTTTCCCCCTTAATTAAGCATTATTCGCCGACTAATAACTACTCTCCATTAGGAAGGATGGCAGAAGACAATTGACTTGTTGCTTTCATGGCGGTTTTGCAGTAACAAGGAAGCAGTCTGACAAATCAGAATATTCTTCTGGGACAGAAGCGGGGTGAACAACAAGTTCAGAATCAGGCTGAACCCCACTAGAGAGATGGTCCAGGATGGGAGTCCTCAGACCCGGTTACCCTTGCCCCACTTCACCGCAGCATCCCTGTGAAAAGAGTAAAGAACCTTAAGACGTACCAAGCCAGAATCTCAAATCAGCAGCTAAACCAGGTAGTCAGGGGCTGGCGTGTTTGGCTGAGGTGGTGTCTCCAGTCACCACCAAATGATTCCTCCATCCCAAAGGCCAAAAGCTCTCCTATAGCACGGGGTGGCACAGGAGTCCTTTCAGAGTCCAAGTTCTGAGTAAACTCCACGCCAAACCACTTGCCAACCCACTTGCACACCCTCCTGCATCTCTTTACGTCCTATATTGTCCTACAACACACGCTTCCCTGAGAGGTTCCATTGCTCAGTTGTCTGAGGTAGCAAATGAGTTGCCTGCAAACGTCCCCTGATGCAGCTCAAGCACATGCATTCAGACAGATTAAAATACCACCATATTTTGTGCGAACTGAAGACATTCTACCTTATTCCTTTCACCGCCCTGCACAGACAACTGCATGCCAAGGTGCGTTTGCCATCTTTCCGTGTCTTTCCCCTCATGCGCTGTCCAATTCTTGTGAATAACGAGAAAATGCACCTAAGCATCTGAATGTCGCTTAACAAAAAAATAACCCCTGAAAGTGAAATGTAATTACCAGGTTAAAAAAAAAAAATGCACCCAGTTTCAAGAGCCTATCACATCCCGCGCCTCGGCGCGCCGCTCCCCCAAACACTGCTCCTGTTGTGTCAGATAGTGGCAGTGTTGAGCCCGGGAACCCGCGCCGAGCCCGCGGCGGTCCCCGCGGCCGCCCAGTCTCCGCCGCCGACTCCGGCGCTGGGGCTACTGGGCCGCGAGGGCGCTGGGGCGCGGGCGGGGCGCGGGGGTCGGCGAGGGGTCCCCGATCGGCCTCCACCAACTGTTTGCGCTCTCCCCCAGCTAGAGCACCCCTCCTTGCAATTGCTCGAAATTCACCGAAATTCAGAGAGAGACAGGGCGGGTGGAGGGAGAGGTCCCCAGCTGCGTCCTGGCTCTGCCTCCCCCGCTGCGGCCCGGGAAGCGCCCCCCGTGCGTCCGGCGAGCGGTGTGGGCGCTGCGCCCCCTCCGAGGCGGCTCGCGGGGCGGCGGTCCCCGCTCGACTCGACCGCGCGGCCGCCGCGATCCTCCCCCCTCCCCCGCCCGCGCCCTCCCTCTTCCTTTCACCAAGACTCCGGGACTCGGGAGAGGGCGCGGGAGGCAGGCACACGGGCCCGACCCCACTCCGGCGCGCGCGGGCGGCGCGGGCAGGCGGCGAGGGGACGCGGCGGGGGCGCGGCCGGGGAGCGGGGCCGCGGCTCAGCAGCGGGCGCCGGCCGAGGAGCGAGCGGGGTGGCGGGCGGGCGGGCGGGCAGGGCCGCCCGGCGCCGCGACCCGAACTGCACAGCTCAGCAAAAGCGCCCTCGCCCTCCGCGCGCCGCCTCCAGCGAACCCCAACCCAGCAACATTTTTTAAAGCTCCAACCCATCCTTTGAAGAAAAGGAAAAAAAATTAGCATTGATCGGAGAGCCGGGGACATCTCTATCCAGCTCGCTCTCTCTAGCTCTCGATAGAATTTTCGGGGGGCTCCAGCTAAAATTAGCCGGGCTCGCCGCGCGCCTGGGCGCGAGTGTGTGCGAGTGTGTGCGCGTGCGAGCGTGTGTGTGTGTGAATGTGATTACTCCAGGACTCCGCGGGCTCCGGAGACGCCATTTTCCCCCTTGATATCTCTCTCCATAAATCGGTGGCGCGGCGGAGGCGGCCGCGCAGGGCGGGAAGCGCGGGGCCGGCCGGGGCGCCCGCCGCTCGCCGCCGCCTCCGCGCGCCCGGGGGCCGCGGCGCCCCCCGAGCTAGGGCGGCCCGCCCGCGGCTCGCCGTTTGACAGATGCTCATCGCCATGGAGTTGCCGCAGCAGCACCTTTGGGGGCTCGGGCGAGCGACCGGAGCCGGGATCTGAGCGAGCGCCGGGGCCAGCGCAGCCGGAGGCGCCGGGACATGGTGAGCACGCGCGGCGACCTTGGCCCGGGAGTCCGGCGCCCGCCCAGCCTCCCGCCGCGCGGCGGGGCCCCCGGAGCCCGGGGCCGGGGGGCGGGGGGTCTGCCCTGCATGCAAAAGTTAACGTCGCCTTCCAGCGCTTTGACTTTGCACCGGGCGGGAACGGAGACGCGGGGCCGAGGGGGCGGGATGCCGGTCCCGGCGAGGCGGCCGGCGAGGGGCGCGGGTGGGCAGCGATGCTGGTGCAATTGGAGTGGCCGGTTGGTGGCGGCGATGGTGGAAGCGTCGGGCTGCAAGGCTGGGAGCTTATTGAGTTTCGCCTAATCTGATACCCCCCCCCCCGCACCGCCCCCCCCAGCCCCCCCCTCACCCCAGCCTTTTGCACCCGCCCCGGGTCCTGCCGCTGGCTGCCCGGACTGGCGGGTTTGGCGTCGGTGGAGTGGACTCAGGAGGGGGAGGGGGAGGGAGAGGGGTGGGAAGGCGGCAGCATTTTTTTTTTTTTTTTTTTTTTTGCTCTCTTTGTAACTTGCAGGTTAAGTGGAGCTAGAGAGCTACATTGTAACCTAGTTGGATTTTTTTTGGGGGGGACATGTATCAGAATCTAACGTGTCGTTAATAGAAAGAAGAACAGGGAAGAAGTGGTCCAGCCGGCGAAGGTTGGTGTGTGCTTGTGTTGTGGCTCTGTGCTGGTCTTTCTCTTACAATCTTAATCAATAGATGTGAGTCTGTTTCTGGGGCTCTCTGGTTTTGGGACTCTGCAGAGAGAGGAAGGAATTCCCTTAAAAGCAGACGAATGCCTTTTTTGAAAGCACGCATTGTGTGCGTTTCTTAGAGGAGCCTTGGGCTTGGGAATTCACGGCAGGCTTCCCCGGTCGGTGGTTTCCAGTGGGAAATCACTCCGGAAAGGGAGCCCTTCAGCATCGATTTATTGTTTTTGTCTTTCAAACCATTATCTCTTTGACTAAAATACTGTCTGAGAAGTTCCACAGAGACCGGCAGGTAGACTGGACCGAGCAGATCTTTAGCAAGATGGTGATAACGGTGATGCTGTTTTTGGTGTCTGTGATGGAAGCATTGTTGGGTAATAGCAATTTCTGATCGGTAGAGCATGCTGCTTCTAAAAAAATAAGTAACTGCCGAAATGCTGTCTCCAATCCCCCTCCCTGCACACTGCAAGCACCCGCCTCTCGCGGACCCACGCCGCTCACAACCATTCTGAAATTCCATCCGACTGGAAATATTTTCTTTGGAGATCGGGAAGTTGTGCAGTTGGCAGCAGGAGATGGGGCTGGAGGTACTGTGGTTGTAGAGAGAGGGTTCTCCTCGCCCCCGATGCTGAATATATTCTTTATGTCTGTCTGTGTGGGTTCTGAGTGTGTGTCTATCTGTCTGAAAGGGCTGTTAGGGAAGGATTTCCGATTCGTTTCCGCTTCAAATAAACTGTCCTGATAATCTCATGGTTGACGTCTAACGCTAAAAGGGCAATCTGTGTGTCTCTTTATCCCTGCTGAAACTCTCCTCCCAAAGGGCAGTTATTCTGGAATTCTAGAGCAGCTACTTTTTCTTCCAAACAACTCCCCTCCCCAGTCACCTTCTTTCCTAAAGTTTGGTTGGAGTCCATGGTCTTGAAGGAAACACTAGTATTACTGGTTTTTATCTGGGATTAGTTTTCATTCTTTTTCTTTCCTTTACTCTGCATCCTGTTTTTCCTCAGTTCCTGTAAATTTGTACCAAACATTCATTTCATGAAACAGTTGTCACCAAAACTAAAATTACCTGGCACTTCGGTACCATCTCTTGCCCTACTTCAGTTTCTATAGGTAAATCGGATGTGCCCCAACCACCAAATTTATCTTCATCTGCAAAACTCTGTGTGTGTGTGTGTGTGTGTTGGGGGGCAGGAGTAGGGTAGAGAACAGGAGGGACTTGGATAGGAAGGGTGTTGTTCTGTTCAGACTCGCTCTGCAACACTGGGGCCAGACCTGCACTGTCTGGGAGAGTTTCCTTTGCACACCCTGGTTAGATGTTGTCTGGCTGGGATGGAGAGGCGGGGCCAGCTGACCAGGGGTGTGTGAGGGAGGAGAAAGTTTGTAGCACTTTAAAATATAGTAGTTTTACTATCCCAGGTTACTCCCTCCCCCTTTCTTCTGATTTCTGTGGCTGCAGCCATCCTTAGACTCCTGGAGGTGTGATCCTTTGGCCCAGAGATGGAGTAAGAGTTTTCAGAGCACAGTTGAAGATGCTGTGTTCTCATCTGTACTTCACAGCAGTCCCTGCTATCAGAAAAGGGGGTTAGGACAGAGTGTTTGGGGCCGATGGGAAAAGTATGGTTGAACAGAGAATGAGCAAACTTTAGGTACTGTAGCCAGAGGTGAATAGGAGACCAGAAACTTTTGAAAATGCTGCTTTGCACACCCTCTCCCTTCCCCCATTAAGAAAAAGAGTCTGTCTTGGGAAGTTGAATTGGTGTTAGAGCTGAGCTGTGGGAGCTGCTAGCCACTACAGTAATCTGAGCTGTGCTGGGGGAGGAGGTGGTGAGCGAAAGCCGGAGGAGGGAAACCGACTTGTCTCTCTTAGCAGGGAAAATAGATGTGTCACTGGAATAAACAAACTGGAGGTGGGGGAGGGGGTGGCCTGTACTGAACTTAAGGAGGAGTGGCTGAGAGACAGCATGTCTTTAGGAAGGGGCCACTTTTAGCTTGGGAGAAAATATCAACTGCCTTATATGTTCATGAATGGGCCAGGCAAGTGAAGGTTTGTAATCTGATCTTTTGTATGTTACCATCAGAATGTTACATAGGAAGGCACTGCTGGCAGGGCAGGTTCAGGGCTTCAGGCAAGGGAAGCCCAGGGATATCCCTGTATGAACCAAGAAGCCCCTCTGTGCCATAAGGGTTTCTGGTCACTTGCTTGCATTATTCCTGGCTAGCTACTTTGTAAATCACCTGACCTACATGAGGGCTGGTGGTGGTGGGAGTGGATAACACAGTGCTTGCTCACTTGATGGATTTAGTTGAGAATGGTTGGTGGGGAGAGGCAAAGAGGCAGGGGCAGGAGTTTGCTGAAGAAGAAACAAATAGGTAGGCACTTCCCCCTGGATCTCTGATTCTGTTTCTGCTGTTACCTTGACTTTCAATTCCATTAGGGGCTGAATCAATACTTGTCTGGCACAAAAATGTACATCTAGGAGAAGAGCGTTCTTTTAATCTTGTCATTATTTTTAGTTGTACTTTAATTTCTACCCTGAACCTTCTATATAATATGCAAAAGGAAGAAGATGAGAAGTGGCTAGATAGATGGGATGTCCTTTCTGGATTCTTGCAGAGACACTGAAACTTGGCTGGGCCTCAGCCTCCCAGAATGCCAGTTTTTCCCTTGGAGACTTGAAGTTTTAATTGAAACCAGAAAGCTATTGAAGGCAGGCCCAGCCAAATGAAACTTTGTTTTCTCTGCTGCTCAGGAATGGGAAATAAATAATTTTTTGCTGATGGCATTTCAAGTTGCTTCAGTTCTGCTCCTGCCAGAAGAATCGGGTAAATTATTATTAACACATTAGTATTGTCAGGAGTTGCAGTGCCTTAAAACACAAAATGGGATGATATTATTGAATTTGCCGAAGAACCCCTGTGTGGGAGAGGTCTCCTCGAAGGGGCTGGGGTAAGAGGGCAGGAAGCTGCCCTTGTCCTAGAGAGGAAGCAACACTGGCCTGAAAAAGGGAAGCCTCCTTGCCACACATCACTGGGCCAGATACTAGGGTTCCTGTGAAGGAGGGAACAAAACAATCCAATTCCACTCTTACAAGAACTATATTAGGAAACTTGGTGAGCTTTCCAAAATGTTTTGGGCCAGGTGGGTAAGGAATACTAACAGCCTACCTATCACCCTAGGTTTGAGATTCTTTTAGAACTGCTCCTAAAGGCAACCCTGGTATTTCAGATTCCTCATGAAGTGGCAGACACGTTGGGCCAGTCACATACTTGCTAAGAGCAGAAAAGAAAAACCAAGGTGCCAAGTGAAAGCAGGGTGAAGATGCCAGTCTGCCCTCTTGTTTGGCTCTGAGTTTCCATTTTCACTTGGCCTTTTACTAGATTCTGATGCCCCCATTAGACATAGCATGTTGTGGTAACATAAAGTTTTAGGGTAAAATGGCAACCTTAGAGAACTGAGTCTAAAGTTAGTGACCATTCCACTTCTTAGCTGGAAGTCTTAAAGGTTAAGATCAGAGCCGCTTTCCTTTCAGTTGGTTTTTACCTCTTACTCAACCTTCGCGAATACCCTCGAAGGTTGGAAAAGCATTCTTTTTTATGGACTTTGGATAAAAATGTGTAGTGGTCTTCCCATCCAGTTCAGGGCAAATGATGCCAGGTCAAATGGAGAAAATGAAGGACCCTGACGCCCATAGGACCCATAGGGAGGAAGCAACCTCCCTTGCTCAGGAATGATGATGGATTGACTTAAAGACCCTTTAATAATTACAGGCAGAGCCAGCTGAGCTGACCCCCCCAAGGCAGGTAGAGACTTCTGCCTCTCCAAGTGCTGGGGAGGAGCAGAGGGCTAATGAGCAGATGACTTTTAGAACTTTGTCAGTTCAGAAGAACATTTCCTGGCCCAACTTATCACTTCTTGTTAAAAATAGTACCTTTCATATGCATGGCACTAGTTGTTTTAAAAAGTATCTTCATATTACATCTGCCCTCTTGATTCTCCTAAAGATCAAGACCAGATAAGCATCTTAACTCCATTCAGAAGATGAGACAATTGATACCTGACTTGATGAAATGACAAAAGTTGGTGGCTGAGCTGGGATCAAACAGGTATGTTAATGTGTAAAGAGCATCCCACCTGAAGGGGCAGGATCTGCTTTGGGTCCTGTCCCACTGCTTCCCAGTACTTGAACCCCAGCAAGTTATTTAACCTCTTCGAGCTTCAGTAACCTAATCAGTAAAATAGGGAGAAAGATGTTTTACCCTGCCTACTTCACAGGGGTGTGGAGGATTAAATGATACCAGCTAATTTCTGTAATTGATAGCTGAGAGGATTTCTATGCTGTCTCCTGAAAATGGTTCTTGGGATTATTGTTACTATAGACCAGATTAATAGCCCATTGGTATTACCAGAAATGCCCACAGGAACCCCTTGGATTCTAAGTGAGTCAGGAAATAGTTGTTTTCTACTCTTGACTCATGGGGGAAAAAGGGTCTATATACATTTTTTATTTGGATTATTGAATGCCTACTCTGCCATGAATGTTTGAGACTCAATGTCTTGGGAACAAACTGCATATTAAATATCCAAACTGGATATTCAGTATCCAGTTTAAACTCGAAGATGTATTGGTGCTCTTTGAGTTAAGAATGAGAAGGAGAAAGGGCCTCTCTGGTGGCCTAGGGGTTAAATTTCAGCACTGTCACCTCTAAGGCCTGAGTTCCTTCCCTGGCCAGGGAGCTACCCACATAGGGCACAGCAGATCTCTCCTGTCTACCCTGCTGCTCCCCATCCTGTCTCTGGTGAATCTTCTGTTTCTCTCTCTCTGTCACACACACGCACACGCACACATATATACACACACACACACCCTGCAGCTCGGGCCTACACCCCAGGTCTTTTATGGAAGAAAAGGACTGAGAAGGGGGAAAGATGTAGAAAATACAAGAAGGGAGACAAGGGAGGAGAGAGTGTGGGAAGGGGTCCCCTCCAGGGTCCATGTGAGCAATGACATGCAGAACAGATTTTTTCTCTCTCAAGGAAAGAACTGATAGCAGGGTTGCCTCTGTCCTAGCAAACCCAACCAAAACACTCAAAAATTCAGAACATTCTCAAAATCCAGGTGACTGGAAGTATTCTTGTATGAACCCCATTTTACACAATACATACAGGCTTCTGCTCCCATCAAACAGGTTTCCATGCTGACCCTGGAAACTGTCCTCAGTTTCCCCCATACTCCAGCCTGCTGTGTCACCACCACCTCTCTGGAAAGTCCTGAATGTTCCCTTTTCAACAGAGCACCTACTGTTCAGGCCATCAGACCAGCTCTCAGCTCGGTGGCCCGTGGCTCCAGAGCACTTATGTTTAAAGCACTTGCCTTGCAACAGGCTCATCTGCTTTGCTATAGGTGTCACTGCCTTCCCAGGCTGTGAGTCCTTGAAGAAAGGGGCCAAGTTTGCCCCCCTTAGCCCAGCCTCTACTTATGATTTGTGTTGCATGAATGGATGGCAGAATTTATGTAGAGATAGAATATTAAAAGCAAATGTTGTTTAAGGTGTACCAAAGTTCTGCACTGTGAAGCAACACAATGAAGACCTCAGACAAAGTGGATAATAACTACTTATGTTAATGACTTTTATGATTTGGGCTATCTTTCAGGCCCAATTGCCCACTCTCAGTTTCTCCCTCAAAACATAAGAGTTAATGATGTTTTACCACATGTACATTCTATCAGTCACCAATTTATTCCTTCATTCATTCAATCCTTAAATATTTATTAAGTGCCTACTAGGCTCTCATCGCCACTCCAGCACACACAGCTCTTGACTTTTTCTGAAAATTCCTATTGCATTTATTGTCTACCACACTCATTTTGGCACTTAACCATGCAATCTTCTTTGTTACTTAAGTCTAATTGCTTCCTTGTTCCTCAAGTGACAGAGTGAGCCTGCCCACAGTGGAAAAGAAGGCTGAGCAGAGACATACAGTCAGAGGGGAAGGTTCCAGGGAAAGACCCTTGCGAAGTAGGCTGTAGGTAGCTGGACTGGCCACCCATAGTGTGGGATGTGGGAGAGGTTGCAATGGCTCTCCTTTTCTTAACTTGTAGCATGGGAAAGTGAGAGATTGGATTGGTAGGGAGAGAGGTCCTTCATAAAATTTTGTGATTCTCTAGCTAGAAGCATTCTAGGAATTGTATAGCTCTATTAAGTTCAGAACTCCTGAACCCCATTAATGGTACCCCAGCAACTATCCAAGTCAATCTCACTGAGGATTTTGTGCACTTTATGAGGTATTTGCTGTGGTTTAAAGAGTTATAGAAGGAGAATAGGATGGGGAGAAGTTTTTCAGTTAGAATCAGAGAACCAGACCTGGGAGCTAGGGAAGGAGAGGGGATGGAAAGTTGAGCAAAGTGTGAAGAAATACCATAAAAATATTTATTCGCTACTTATTTTTTTTTTTGATAACTACCTTCCCTCCCATACTCCCTCCCCTCTCCTTTTGTAAAATAACTGAGTGAAGACAAGGGAGATGGTGCAAACAAAGATAGCATCTGGAAAATCTAGAATAATTCTCTGAACTGAGAATGTTGCTACTGTTTACTGTGCCCAGTAGGATCTGGAATTCCTGTTGTGGTTACTTCATGGATCTCAGGGATCAAAGGTGCTAGATGTTGTTTCCTTGTATAGAATATAGGTAATGAAAGACCGGGACTGTGCTCATGCACCTGGTTGGCCTGTCAGTCCCCCTGGTCCACGTTCAATGACAGCTAGTAAGTAGGTTTGCACACATTTTGAAATCAAAGGGACTATCTAGTTCGTCCAAAGCCAGGGGCCTCTATGGTGGGATCAGGAAAGTTGGCTTTGACCGAAGACTCTGAGCAAGTCCAGCAGTAATCCTGACTCATCCAAGAGCACAATAATTGGATACTTAGGAAGAGGGAGATTCTGCAATATACTGAGATATATCCCAGCACCCTCAAAGGATTTGGGATAGGAGAAGAGAAAAAGCAAGCAACTTTTTAGTCAAAATGGGTGAAACATTTTCACAATTCCTTCTATCTGCCAAAGATTTGCACTCTGTCAAAAGAAGGAAGCTGCTTTGGTTTTGAATTTGGGACTAGAGAGATGCAGACAGAGATTTAGAGATGCTGAGTTGGATGGCTCCCACACAGCCTGAGAATGCTCTTCTCAAGCGGTGGGGTCATCCTCCCTGGGCTTGTAGCAGAATAAGGCAGTCTGAGTGACAATCCCGTACAGTTGTTGGTGGCTGTGTCCATGACATATTGTCATTTGAGTGGTGAGAGCTTTGACTTTTTTTTTAAGTATTGATAATCATGATGGCTAAAAAGGATGATTTGATGTGAAATCCCCATAGGCCTCCTTTCTGCTCATTACTTTGTATTCTAGAGCTCAAGGTTTTTGATCCACAAATATTTATTAATGTCTCAGCATTGCAGTTTGTATGAGCCATTGTTCCTGCCACTGTTGGGCAGACAAGGTCTGGTATGAGTGGATGGCATATCTACAGAGACATGCTTTATTCAAATGGAAAGTATCAGTCTGCAGTCAAAGTGGGGGCATAGTCTAAGTGGAATTATACTGTGTGGGTGATCAGTGTTAAGGTGCAGTCAGAGAGGACTCCAAGAAGTACATGGCTTTGGATTTAATGGTGCAATTGGAACAAGAAGTCATACTTGGTAGATAGAATAGCCCTGACTATTCTAGAGATGGAGCAGAAGTGAAAAAAGGTTCAAATATGAATTTGACATTGCCAGAAGGAAATGAATGCAGGTCATGAATAGGTACTGCATCTAGCAGGAGCAGGGCAGCCTGATGATAAAGGTCCAGCTAGCTGATATCAAGACACATACCATCCATAGTAGGCATCTTGCTTGTCTGAGGTCTTCTGTCCAGAGTGGGAAGTACAAATCTGAGGGCCCTATAAATTGAACCCAGTCTAGCTGTCCAGATGTCCAGAAAACACATCAACTTTTCAATTCTCTGATTCAGCAAACTGGATTTGTTCACTGATATTTAAACATGAGTGGGTGCTGACCCTGATGGGTGCTGTGGGACCACAAAAGATGGAGGTGACATTGCCTCTACCTACAGTCCAGTGGAAAACTCTGTAAGAACTTGTGAATATCAATGGAGGAACAGTGGGTGGTCCTCTAGGGTTAAGTAACAGAACTGTCGAAGGCCAATACCTCCATGGACTGGAAAGATCAGAGAAGCTTCAGGGGCCTCAGGCTGAGTCCTAAACAAATGGACAGACTTGGTTATCTTGCTAACAAAAATAAAACTACATATAAGCATTCTGAATGGGGAAGGTCTCTATGACACTGATGGTTTTCTCCAGAAGTTTAATGTATCATTGGAGAGAGACTCAAATTTCAGTAACAATGCAATATTTAAGTCATAGTTTATGATAGCTGAAAAAGAAATATTATAAAGGGAGGGGAATATAGCTAATATTTGTTTAGCTCTGTGGTATGCCTAGCATCTCCTCTGTAGCAGAATACAAACATGTCAGATTACATTTTATGTTCAGATGACAATGAGCAAAGCAATTGCTGAATCAGGTGCTTGAGAAGTCAAGGAGTTTGAATTCTGACTGAACATGACTCAAAATTAGAAGGCCTTGAAAGAAAGAGTCTGAACTTTGTTATCATGTTAGCCATGCCTTACCTTGCCTTCAGGTAAGTCTACCATTTTCACCCCCAGTTTATAAAAGGTATGGTGGCGATCCTCAGCACAGGGATTGATCAGCACAGGGACTGGTCCTTAAGTTTTTGGTAGGCTTAATCAGGCAGAGCTACAGAACCAACTCTATAAAGAGGTAGAAAGTTCCAGCACAGTCTTTGCAGGGGTTCTGGTTGTGAAGTTGAGCAGATAAATAAGTTCAGAATGTCAGAACTGGAGGGGGCCACAGAGCTCACCATACTTCATACCCTCCTCATCCTATAAATGAAGATGGGAAAACCCAGGAAGACAAAGGAACTTGCCCAATGTCACCAACTATAAATAACAGAGCAGAGAAAGGGATCTGGGACTGAACTCAATCTTATTTCCTCCATGAGATAAGCTGGAACAAGAAGAAAGCAATACTC